AATATAAATATATTTAACGGCTTTGTAATTGAATAAAATAAATAATAATAATAATAATAATAAATCATTAAAGATCAACAATTCTAAGAAGTATTACGACAAAAATAGATCAAAGATATATATAAATTTTATCATTACAATCAAAGAAACTACTTATCCGAATAAGATAATTATTCTTACGTAATTATTCTAAAGCTAAAGGAAATATATGTACCGAATGCATAATTATAAATGCGGTCTAATAGTGCGCTATTTAAAATGCAGCAAAAAAGTGTTGCATCATTTTATCGATTAAAAATATGAAAAGAAAAAGAGGAAAAATCATGTTATCAAACTGATAAATAATGCAACGAATGAGAATTAAAACGTTGGATAATTTACAGATGAGAAACGACGAATTTCGACCTGACGTAATGAAGACTCAAGCCGAGTTGATGCTCACCGAAGATTTAAGCGAACGTATCAAAGAAACTATCGATAAATGTTATCCCTCCAGTAAGAACAATTTATTTATATTATTATATTTGTCTGTAATTTTTTTTTTTTTTTTAAATTACTTTTATTTACAGTAACCAGCAGCGAACCGTGCGAAGCCGCATGGCAATTTGCCAAATGTTATTACGAGACAGACAGTTCGGTAAATGTGTTTTATTAATATTACTAAATGTTTAATAATTTATTTATTTTTGTGTTATTTTTCTATATGTTACAGGCAAAGTAAGAAATCCGGCACTGTTCACAATCGTGATTGTTTCAAGTTGTTTCTTACTTTGTCTATAACATATACATTTATTCTTATTTCCTCGAAATCCGCGTATCATTGGCAGTAATTTTATAATCTTACTAATAGCTATAATTGATTAAAACTATTCCGAATGCATCGCACGATCGAATTATTTTCTTCCTTTGGGAATTAAAAAAAGGGGAAAAAAAATAACCGACAAGAAGAACATAAAAGATTCGATCCAATGAAGCTTCTAAAGAGAACTTATTAAATGCTAATTATATCGTTTTATAACTATAATTTCTAGGACAATTTTCAATTAATGACTAAACGATCTCTATTACTTTTTTTATCTGTTTAATTATAGATTTACTTTATTCCATGAAGAAAACATCGTCGATTTACTTACGTATGAGGACAAGACGAAGCTCGAGGGCATGGCAAGGAACAGGATTTAAAAAAACTTCTAATGCGATTTGTACTAATTCTAGAACCAAACGACACTGTAGAAGAGTTTAAAATTTCAATTTTTATTATTATCATTATTATTATTATTATTATTATTATTATTATTATTATTATTTAATATTAAAGTGAACAAAAAAAAGAAATCGAATAGATCGTTACATTACATCATATTTAATTTATTTTACATAATCACCCGATTACAAACTCCCTGAAGCGATATTGATGAAAAATTGTCTAATAATTTATGCGACGAGTACTTTCTTCTTTCCATAATTTTTTTTCCAGAATAATCGTCTTAAAATTCCCAAATATTAGTAAGAAGTAATGAATAATATATGAGATGTAAAATATATATGTAAATGTAATTAGCTAACATTTGATTTAGAATTAGATTTGTAAATCTTTGCCATGACTTTTTAATAGATTTTGTTTTACTCCTCGTATTCTTAAAAAAATGTTATTATAGATCCTTGTAACATTGCTTATTAATGTATGAAATAAAAAAATAAAATGATTAACTAACGTTATTTTTATTTAACAATTTCGATGATGATTCTAAAATATGTGGGTGAATTGAAGAGTTTTGAGCCTAACATATAAACGATTTATTTTTCTTAATTATTTATTTTATTTAAATAAAAAAAGAAAGTCTTTTGTCCAAGTCCAAAAGTTCTTAATCCACCCTCGTGTATTTCTTTTTTTTTTCTTTTCTTCTAATATTCTCTAAGAATAACAAGAACCTTGGAAAATTCTTAAAAAAATATATGAAAATGATTGATGAATATTTTATTTTGATTTATGAATCTTTTTGTCATTATTCAAATATATTTTTCATTCTCATATGCTTATATTGTTAAATACTAGATTGTAAATATAAAGTTAAAATGATTCACGAACATTATCAAATATGTTAATCATCATCAAGTTATTAATGAATCTTTTATAATTATAATGCAAATAAAATATTTATTCTTTGCCATCATGATTCTACACTTATGTGTTTCTTTCTAAATTAAGCACAAATAATTTGAAAACATTCATTTTTCTCATCTTTTATATTATAATAATAATAATAATAATAATAATAATAATAATTGAAAGTCTAGAAAAAATAAAGGAACACAATAGGAATAAATATATAAAAATAATATATTTGTATGTTCTCATAACGTGCATTATTATTTATTATATAAATTTGATTACTAGACACTTTCTTAACTATATACGTTCGTTTCTATGTTAAGCTCACAACTTTTCGACCCACCCATGTAAGTGTATGCGTGTATCAAGTAATCGATAACCATAATAAAATAATGCACTTACTTGTTTTTATTGTTACATGATTCGAAAAATTCCTTGTTTTTTCTTTTTAAAACAATAATTTGAAGATATTATCTAATGTAGAAATTTGTTTTTTTTTTTCAGTCCTCCTAATATTTGAACGTGTATAATTTTTTTCGACAAGATTAAATGTGTATGTGTAAAAGACATTTTTATTTAATAAAAACAAATATATCGCAAATGTAAAGATATCATATCAATTTACTTTCTTTTTACGAATCTTTTTTTTTAATTGATGATCGAAATAATTTAAATATATATTCCAAAAAATATTTCTTTTGCGTTTCAAATAAAATTCAATAAGAATATATTAAAAAAAAATATATATATACATTTCCTATCGGTAAAATAAAAATCCAGTATTTCTCAATATTCCCTTTTTACAAGTGATCTTGATTGTTTTATTACTTTACTTATTTAATTATTGTGTATCGAAATAAAAGTAAACAAATATTTCCTAGTTAAACAAGTTTGGAAAAAAACGTATTCGATTTTATGCAAATGATATTCATTAACATTTAATATCGAAATACTCTTTCGAAATACTATTAACGTATAAGATTATAAAAGATCTGGAGTATATTTCTGTGACTCATTAAAGAAAAAAAATAAAAGACAAAAAAATAAGATGTCTGTTTTGTTTTTTGCTATTTTTTGGCTTCTCTTAAATTCGTTATGAATAAACATCGTATCGATGCGTCGGAATGTGTCTTACGTAAATCAAACAAGTCAATTAAATTATCCTGTTTTCTTGTTGACCCTGTCCAGATACCTTGAATTAACACACTTGTATTAACACGCCGCAACGTGTAAGGCAGTTTCATATAAATATCGACAGAAATCTTGCTCTCGGTAGTATTTGAACGATTCTTGATCCAGTCGGTTTATTGTTCAAAGCATTTGCTCTTAAGTTTTTGATCTTTTCGATTATTTCGTTAGGAATAAAATGAAGTCATTCGTCGTACTTGCTTCCTTTCTCCTTCTTGGGGTAAGATCAAGATTTTTTCTTTCTTTTCATTTTTATTTTAATATAATTTGATTTATTTCTTCTATATTTTCTAATTGACAAAACTTTAATTATATTATTTGGAATTGTCGTTATGCTTCTTCACAAATATTTTACCGATTTATATGTGTGATAATGATTAATGCGCTTGATATTTTTAACGATTTTCAAGAAGAGAATTATGGAATTGATTATTATTACAAATTAAAAAATGAGAGAATCACACACATTTTCAACGATAAATAATATTATTTTGTCAAAAGCCAAAATTTTTAGTGCATTATAGGATACGCTTTTTTCTTTCTTTCAAATATAAGCAAATTAAAAATCCATGTAAAACTAATGATAAAATAATCTTAATACCTAAATAAGTAGTTGAAAAATATATATAAACAAAAGCTTTTTAATATACTTACTGTAATACGCTTTCCTCTATTTTTCTTCTATTAATTGGTAAACTTTATATTATCCTATTCGGGCTCATAAAATTATTTCACCGGCTTACGTGAAAAAATCTCATCGTATTAATACTTCTAACAATTTGAAAAAACAAACTTGCAACAAATTTCACGTTCAATTTGAAAAATAAATTTATCTTCGCAGGTCGTCGTTTCAGCTGAATCTGATATTGCAGTAAAAAAATATCTAAAAGCCTTACCGGAAAATGTATCGGCCAAATGCTTGAAGGAATCCAATCTAGAAGCTGGTAAATCAATTATTTCGATATTGTTTTATCTCGGATAACACTTCCAATGATATTATTAATACACCATGTATTCATGATATTCATGGTTCTACGTGATTCTACGTGAAAAATTAAAAATCGAAAATATAGAATCAATTTTATTCGTACGAGGTTTGTTTTATTCTAGAGAAAAATATGTTTGAAAATTTGTCAAATATATTAGCAGTTTTGAAACTTTTTCAGTTCGCGGAACCCATATATGAATGTAAAAATAATTTATGATATTAATACAATGTAATATATGTAAATAACAATTCATGGAACACTTGGATGAATTATGTCGAATCCCAGGATTCCATAGATACACAGTTTAAATACTACTTTCTTATATGAACAAATTTGATTCTACAATTTTCAATTTAGCTTTTCATACAGAATTACCCTCTTGTTCGAATGAATTGGTGAATGGTCAGAGCTGAGTTCAAGAGATGATTCGGTTTTAAAGTGAATTAGGTTTAGGCTTTTTAGGACGCCGAAGTCTAGTGAGTCGAGAGTTTTGTTATGTATTCAATGTATATTAATGTATATTAATAATATTCAATGTATTCAAGTATTGGTATTTTATTTCTGTTGGAATTTTCGTTTTGTTTATTGTAGTGGCTTTCCTTATAAGCATCGTCTAGGGTAGGTTTTTCTAGTACTTTTTTCCTTTTTGCATTATTATCATTTTTTAGCCTTTATTACCTTTCTGAACGTATCTGGGGTAGTGGTTTGTACTTTCACTTGGTTATCTTTCAGTTGTTTTATTACATAGTTATTTTGTCCAGCTGTTTCATCCAATAACTCGAGCAGAGGATCGATGATTTTCTCGTCGATGTATATTGGTGGTGGTTTTACTGCTTTTTTTTCTTCCAATTTTCCTGTAGTGTTTTATGGTTTTGTTGAATCGTCGAGTAGATCATAAGAGTTGCTCAGAGGTACGTCTTGAAGCCATTTTGTTGGTAATGGTGCGGAAGAGTTAAGAGCAAGATTAGAGGATTGTTTTGTTTCCATCGACGATTGACCTATTTCGGTATTAGCTCTTGTTCGAATAATGTAACTGCTGCCGTTATTATCTATTTGAAGAGGTGGGATGTTGTTAATTTCCATGGTCAAAGCTTCTTTGCCATAAGCTTGAACACACGGTTACTCGCGAGGGTGCAGTGTTACCTCACTAGGACACTGGTCACTTCACCCTTGTATCTACGATATAAACCTAACGTACGTTATACTGTATCTCGACGTATTTATTATTTAAATACTTGTATTCTCGGGAACGGTAAATAAACACGTCTGTATTTACTAACGATTACTGGGAAAGTGAATCTTCTATTTAAATTTCATCTTATATGTATAAATTTTGATTAGATAAGGACAAGTTACTTTCCGATGAGAGCACTGTAGATCAAGGAAAATTAAGCTGTTTCATTGCCTGTACTCTCAAAGAAAATGGTTCAGTAAGTAGAAAAAATTATTTCATTATTATTATATAAAAAAGTAGTGTCTTTATATATATATATATATATATATATATATATAGTAAAAATCGATCGATTGTTTAAATAAATCTTTCCATTTCCGTGTGTTATTAGTTGGTCAACGGTGAAATCAAATACGACGTTTTGGCAGAATTACTTTCTAAATTGTTAACCGACAAAGAAGATAAACTTCAAGAAAGGTTGGAACTTCTCAAAGTTTGCATTCCCGAAGGTAAATTACGAAAAAAACAAAAACACGACAAATAATTCAATTAATCTCATTAACTTTGTCAATTTTTATTCTACATTTTTATTTACAGGTGCTAACTCGAAAAATGATTGTGAAAATGTTGGAAAGATTTTGCAGTGCAAGTTGAGCAAGGCTAAGCAATTAGGTCTTTAAATGGAAGTACTTAATTGTGATCCGACATCGAACGAAATATTGCATGTCCTATTTTTACTCTCTCCTTATATATGATTTAACCTTTTATGGTCTCGTCTGGAATAAACAAATAACTTTTATAATTTGTCCGTAGTAAACTTATGAAATTCTTTTCGATGAATATCATCTCTCAGCATGTTTCAAAATGTCTTCTTTAATTATTAATTCATATTTAGATGTTGATATTGTGTGTGTGTCCGATTTTCGATTTAAAGTTACCTATATGTTTCTTTTTTATATGTAATATATATAATTATATTGACAACGACTTGATTTTATAGAGGGTTAAATGATAATATCCTTATATTTCCTTCACAATTTTCTATTAAATATTAACAATTTTCTTACTAATTGTACATTACATGCATTTTGATTAATAAAAACTTGTCAAAACACTTATCGTATTTCTTTCTTTTTATTTCCCCCATCTGGCGAATTTAAATATAATTTGATGTTACAATATTTAAAGAGAGAGAGAGGAAGAGAGAATAAGAAGGGGAGGGACGATGATGATCGTAGAAAGGCAAAAGCATATGAATAAACAACAGGACCTTAATGTCTTTTGAATTATTAAGGTATACATTCGGGATGATAAGCGAGCTTCATCGAAACCTTAGAAGGATATAATTTAACGTGTATACACTTGCTATAACGTGACATAAATATGTAAATGTAAATGTATAATAACGATGTGTATGTCTATATATATGTGTGTGTGATATGGTTCTATACTCGTTCACATTAAACGACAGAGATGAGAGGAACACTACAACGTAAGCGGCTCACGTGTGAGACGATGTAATGTTCGTGTATAGTGGAAACTTACTTTCAACCAGCTATACAATAAAGTTACAAACTATTGTGCGAATGTATCCACCAAGCACATAGAAGAAGAGTAAACTACTTTTGCAAATGGCCAGCTTTCCCGTACGATTATATTCTAGATCCTTCTATTACAGCTTTGTGTAAAACGGAAAAAGAGATCAAATAAAAGTAAAAAAAGAAAGAAAGAATAATCAAATTACTTTAAAACGCTTTTGCGTCAGAGTTGCGTCGGAGTTTACATGTGCAAACTTTAGGGACATCCTGTATAATGGAATTTTCAAATATTAGTTTGGTTAATAAGTCCATGTGGTTAGGTTATTAATTATAAATAAATAATACGGCAAAAATCGAACGGATTTATTGACCAACTTAATAATTATGAAGGTTATCAATAAAATATAATATATATATATATAGATAAGTATTTAGATTATTTATATAAAATAAATTTGTTCATTGAATTATTTTAAGAATAAAGTCAAGGTAGGCACAAACACAAACACACACACATATGTATATATTTAATAAGTTATTTCCTTTTTCATGATTTTACTCGAGTATAAAAATAATAACATTCATAAAACAATAGTATTATGTGGAAAAATGGTTCTACGAAAAACTAACGATAAAATCTTTATTATCGGGTATTACGTTCCAACCCAGCTACCACATACAAACACACACACACACACATATATATATATATATATATATATATATATATACTTAGAATTACTATCATCATCGTCATTATAACTATCGTCATCACGATACAATTATAATAATTATTAATATATTGATATAATTAACATTAACATACATTACAATACTATTGTTGCCTCTATGTCTAGTCTTCTTATTATTATCATACACTAATTAGTATTATAATTATTTATAAGCAGATTCAGGGTCCATTTCAACAAATGCACCTTTCTTTTCCAATAAAATTTCTTCTTCTTCTTCTTCTTCTTATAATATAAACTGTTTTTTTAAATCTTCAATTCCAATCACAACTATCAAACAAAAACCACAATTATAAATATAAAATACATTTTATTTAATCGAAATATTTAAATAAAAATGTCTATATCACTTATTTGCCAAAGCCAATATAATAAACTAACACACATGCACGCATAAATTATAAATAAGCGCATTTAATTTGACAGTAAAATTGATAGTAAAGTCGTTACTGTAAAAAACTGGTCTACGTAATTCGTTAGAATGATTAATCCTTTACTCATCTCGACGTGAAAATCTCTTGTAACGAACTTTGAAAAGAAATCAAAGAAACATAAATTTCTTTTATATGGAAAACTTATAATTAATAAAAGAAAAATAGAAAGCGTTAGAAGAAGAACATGAGATTAAAAAAAAAAAAAAAATAAAAAGAAAGAAAGAAAAAAAGAACTCACGAAAAGAAAAAGGAAAGAAAAAAACAAATCTGTTTAATATAAAATTATATTTCTTGTTCTGTTATTTTTTTCTTTTTTTATAAAAAAACATGAGGATTTTCAAAGAAGAAACAATTATATTACGTAAATATAATGTATCTATTATTCTTGCATCCCAGAAACTTCCTACATATTATACTAGTTAATTACTGCTTCGCACCGTTGCTTCCGACCGTATAAATTCATCGTTGGACGATTTGCAAGCGTAGTCAGAAAAAGGATTTTAACTGTCAACGTTAGTTTGATTTTCATTGTTACTAAAAAGAAAAAGAAATACAATATCAATCAAATCAAAGATGAAGGGACTCAAGATCATAACTTCCGTGTTATTACTCGCTGTAAGTAGAACAAATTTTTCTTTTTCCACAAATTCCTATTGAAAAAAATACTTATATGTATATTATTTTGATATATATATAGTATATTGATAATAATTAATTTATATTATTTAATAGAATAAAATGATTTTCTATTAGGTTATTTGCACGGCCAATGAATCGGAGGAAATTTTAAAGGAGTTTGAAAAATACGAGGCCGAATGTCGCGAAGAAAATGGAGTGTTAAAAGGTAAGACGAAAATACGTAAACTATTTAAACAAAAATACAGTTATATGAGTATTAACAATTATACAAATATTTCTTCTACTTTGTTTTATATTTTTAGAAGAATCAGAAGATCATCTTAAAAAACTTTGCGCTGGTGACGAATTAGATAAGAAGGTTGGCTGTTACATGGCTTGTTTCCACACAAAAATTGGCGCAGTACGTAAAATTATCAGCAAAATATTATTTAAAAAAAAAGAAACCAAAATAATATAATAGCACTTTATACATAGCCAGTAATGGCGAAGAATTAACGTGAACATGTTTCTTTAAAATTCATTCCTAAAATATTCTAAATACATTTATGTATTTGTATGTATATATGCGTGTATGTGTATTTGTTTTTAGTTGAAAGATGGGGAAATTTTAACAGATAGTATTGAAAAATCTCTAATATCTTTGATAAAACATGAATCCGTAAAGGATGAATTATTAAGCAAGCTGGACACTTGTAAAGCCGAAGGTAAGCTGATCATTTTTCTTTCTTGTAAATATACGATTTTAATTATTTTATTTTTAATAACAAAAATTAAAATATATTCTTCTTCACAATGACGTATTTATTAATTTGCTTATATTTTTGACAGCCTCCACGGAAAGCGATGATTGCGATAAAACGGTTGAATTTACAAAATGCATGATTAAAGGATCGGAATTATGCACACGTATTCTCAAGAAGGAATGAATTATCATCTTCTATAATTTTTCCGTCGATACGTTCACATTAATTTAATAAGATGAACGATCCAATGCATGCTAAAGTAAATAATTTGTAATAGAGTCAGATAATACGTAAATAAAGTAACCAAATAAATGAAAGTAGCAAAAATTATTTCCGATTTTCTTCAATACTTCGAAACATTATAATAATCTATATGGATATACCTTGGGATAATTGTATTACAAAAAAAGAAGAAAAAAGTTAAAAATAAATCAATTAGTTGTTTATCACGTCCAAAAATAAAATTATTAATAAATGTGTCGCAGGGAAGTTGGATGGGGTAAGAATTTAGAATTTCGATGTCATTGAACGTTTCGCCCTTCATCGGGACTTCTTCACCAACTAAAATATATTACGACTTTAAAAAATACATATTATCAAACATTTAATACATAGTTATTCAATATTACCTCGATCGTTAAGGTTCCGAGTCTCTTATATATTATTACAAAGACATACATTCTTATATTTTTTAAATAAACTGTACTTAACATTTACAAATCGTTATATATCCTAAAACTGTTATATTCAAACACGTAATCAAAATAATACTCATTCAATCTAGACTAGTGTTTAATAATCTAGGTAACCTCCCTATTATAGTATCCTCTATATTACTGCGTCCCATTGATGATAGTTAAACTTTAATATTTCGTTGTAAATGCTATTCAAATTATTAGTGTCTGTTCTGTAATTAATTGTATTGTTATTCACTATGTGGTACACTTCGCTTACGTTTCTTTTGTACCAATTGTCTTCTACATCTAAAATAGTTGCTTTGTTAAATTTAAAAATTGTGTCCTGTTTTAAAGTGATGTGCAGCTAATGCGGTGGTATTAATTTTTTGTACAATAGCGGGTTTACAATCATTTCTATGTTGATCTATTCTTTTTTTGAATTTTTATTTCGTTTGTCCTACATAACACTTGAAGCATTCACAGGGTTTTTTGTAAACTAAGTTCAACTGATCTAACTTATCAACATTATGTTTTAACTTGGTGTAAATAGAATTCACTTTCACTAAATTATAAAATATTAGTTTTATATTAGTATTTTTAAAGTATTTACTTAGTTAAAAATGAATGAGGTTAAGTATAAATGAATTTTTGGTGCAAAGTGTTTGGTCGTCCACTTCTCATTAAATATCGTCAATTATCGAAACAAAAGTGGGACTTACGTATATCAGGAAGAACAACTTTTCGATTTCATTTACGTTATAATAGCTTACTTGTCTCGCATTGATGGTTTCTGAAATCAGTTTATCTTCCAGTAAGTCGTACCCGTTCAGACCTCGGTTCGCCTCGCTCCAAGTGACGGATAACTTTGTTACCGTAATTCAATCGAGTTCTATATAAAAGCTTCCAACCATATATGTCACGTTGCTAGCATACCCGACATATCGAGCTATCCACCTTTAGAGAATTGCTAAGATCGTGTGTAACACAGACAACGACAGCAACAAAAAAGGAAAGAAAAATCTTAGATTCCATGATTATTCTTATTACAATTCGAACATCGAATTTTGATAAATAAAAATCTGTGTTAAATAATTGTACCATAATTATTCGAATGTTTAACCCCTATGATTGCCTGAATTCAAACTCGCAACATTAAAAACATTAACACGATGAATGATAAATAAAAATGGTATTATTGCATTTGGTACAAGATCTCAAATAGGAAATACGTGCTTCCGATCGATCGATCCATCCGATGTTCAGACACAATTAATACAACTCTCGATTATAGATATCTACCTAGATAGAATCGCGAATCGCTGCAGAATTTGCTTCCAAGTCCCATAGGGTAAACGCCGTCGTAAACGAAGGGGAGGCCCCCGCCGACCACAATGGAATTTCGAAATTCTACGTTAAATTAGCATCGCTCGAATTCCAGCACGGACTTTCTAAGTTATGGGACATAAGCCCATAACCAGAAAGACCCCTACCCTCCCTTCCTCTTCTTTCTATCCCTGTCTTCTTCCTAGTGCGCATGTACATCGAGAAAATACTCGTTCGAAGTAACTCTCCCAACTTATACCCATCTCCCTCCCCTCGTCATTTTCCTTCTTTCTTTGTCTCTATGAGTAGCAGTTGATCGGTAGTCCCATCACATCTCCCCATACACGTTTTCGGATACTACCTAACGTCTCCGAGATAATTAATGCGAATTCGTGATTAATTATCCCGAAATCCGCGTTGTTCGCGAGTTTGAAATTATAAGACCTCCCTCCCTCCATCCACCCTTATCATCCTATTTAGGTAAGTTTATACTTACTTATGCATATCGATCTGACCGGATGAAGAATGATTTATTACCGAGTACTTCTAAACGCATACTTATATCTCTATGATGGAAGATGATGATAATAATGCTTGAGTGTAGATCCATTGTCTCTTTATAATTAAAACGATAATAAATTTAGAGTTTTAAGGTTTGACATAATTGCGAATATTTATACGAAAAGTGTTTTATGGATTTTTCTTGGTTTTTTATTAAAATTAGAAAAAAGAAAAAAAAAAAAATAAAAGAGAAAAAGATATTATGTCTGATGGAAAATTGTTTTTAAGCAAAAAAAAGTGTTTATACATTTTTGGACGAATTTAAATCGAAGAATGCAGCGATGAGTTTTTAATGAATAATAAAACGAAGAAAGAGAATCGCGAAATTCCGGATCCGGAATAACTGTAGAGACACGTTGTATGTATTAGTAACTTGCTTACATAGGTATGTATGTATGTAAATATATATATGTACACTATATACGTACACGGTGGTCTGGCACTTTCGAAGCTATGGGGAAATACGGTGGCGAGCATAAACGCGTCCGGGCAATTTATCGAGCAGGTTACACGAGAGCCCGTGTTACAAGTACGCGTTTTCCGTGATATATGTGCATCGAGCAAGCTTGTAACGGCGCAACACTTTTGCGTCTGTGTTGGTAAATGTACAACAAGCATATACAAACCGTGTCTCGAAAGTTTCGAACCATTGAGAAAAGCTAATAAAAGTTCATATCACTAAATTCATTTCTAACTAATGAAATATCGTAATATCGTATCGTGTTGTCCCGGAATGTTCGTGTCCGATTTTAAATCCAAAAATATATATTCAAAGGTAAAAAATACTTTTCTATCCAATAATATTTTACTTAAATATTTAAATTCTCTGTTTATTTTTGTTATTAAACATTCTTATTACATTTTTATCATTTAAAAGTCTAATTATTTCTTTTTTTTTCTTTTTTTTAAATACAAAATAAAAAAAGTATCGAATAAACTATTTCGATAATCAAAATTTCACCAAAATTCTATATTATTGTTCAATTTTTTGACTAAAAGTTCAATTCGCATTTGGGAATACAAGAAGGAAATAATAAAGGAAAGAGAACAATAACAACAACAACAATAGGAAACATCAGAGGGCTCAGAGTTAGGTGCCGAAAACGACAGCTAATAAACCTAACTCCCATAAAGAGACGACATATCCCATGAACCTTGAGATCATTTTCCAAAACTCTCTCTCTCTCTCTCTCTCTTTTTGGTCTCATCCTCCATCCTGGAGGCATTTCGAGCACGAAAATTTTCGACCATAATAATTTGCCGGCGGTACGATTACGAGCGATCATAAAATTAAGGGGACGATTCGTGGACTCTGGACCCTTTTCGTGCAATCTCATTCCATCTCTCTCATTCTCATTCCCCTCATCATTCTCTCTCTCTCTCTCTCTCTCTCTCTCTCTTTCTCTCTCTCTCTCTCTCTCTCTCTCTCTCTCTCTTTCTCTTTCTAGTAAACCTCCACGATGAAAATTTGGCAACAAAACCCAACCACCAACCGACGATCTATATGTATGTACTAATATTTACTTATATATATATATATATACATGGTATGTATATAATATATTGATCTCTGTTTTATTTATTTTCCCAGGATTTTCCACGATGAATGGCCTTTTATAAGCGTCATAAACCCCTTTCGTAATTTCGATCAGTACGCTTAATATAAAGGTGCCTTTTTCGTTCGATCAAAACCAATAAATTTAACGTAAAGATTTCAATAGCAATAGAAAATGAAGAAGAGGTGGAAAAAAAGTGTGTAAGCACAAATAAAAAGAATGCTGTAATTGAAAGAGAATAAGAAGAGTCTAATTGTAAGTTTGACAGGTCTAAAATCATCTGTACAATGATTACATAATAATGATAATGATAATAATAGTAAATATGATAATACCGTTAATAACAATAACTGTATTATAAGATAAAAATGAATGTTGAATGTATCGTTGAGATGCATATAAAAAAAAAATGAGTATAAAAGTTAGTTTCAACGATCTTGGATTATCTTGAAGAGTTATGTCAAAGGAAGTATAGCTACGGGAGGTCCATGCCCTCTCTGTGTCTCTCCGAATCGATTTTAGGTGCGTGGACCACCATAGTCGAGTATCCCGTGTGCAAGGCCATCGTAGTTGAGAGGAAACCTCCTGTGTCCTTGTCTAGTTTCTAACACAAGCAACGTCCTCTTTTGTAAATTACTTCTCTTTTCTAAATCCTCCCTCTACCCCGTTACTTTATCTTCCATTCGTATCTTTCGAAGTAGATATTTAATATTTCATAACGCACGTTATTCGCAACATAAATAATAGATCATATCCAGCGGCGTTTTGGGAGCCGGTGTTTAGATATATTTGTTAGTTTTTAGAAACAAACAAAAATAATAATCGATCAGAAATACGTATCTTTTTATTTTTGTTCCTTATTTTGTTTCATCGAACGCGAGAAAGTAATTCGATCTTTCAAAGAGAACAAGGAGATCAACGTACTTAACTTGCTTACCAGTTAAACTACGATAAGCTATCGTGTATCGAACAGATAAGTAAGCTTCTGAATCATCATCGTGTATTTCTTCTAACACATATCACTGAACACCGATAATATATTTATCGAATAACTCGGTCAATCGAAGGAAACACCTTTCAGAAAGCACGACGTGCACTTTATAAAACAAATTACTACTTATTCTTCTTCTTCTTTTTCTTCTTTCTCGTCGTTTAAAAGATAGTAATCTGATCTCCTTATGTTAAAGATAGTAATCTGATCCGTTAGTAA